CCCCAAAACCCCAAAACCCCAAAACCCCAAAACCCCTATAATAATTAATTAGGCTGAATTACTCCAAGTTTACATCATTGGGTTAAATAAGTCAGATTTAGACTCATCATAGGGATTTTCTTCCTCGCTGTCATATCTCCCAATTCGGACTCCTGAGCGGGTGCTAATATCAAACTGGTTCTTACTCATAACTGAAGACTCATTATAAATCAAAGTGTGAGTATCTATATTGTCATTTTGGAATTTAGAGTATTCCTCTTCTTTATTTATATCTCTAAAATCTTGCTGGAAGTTATCAGCAGGAGAGGTGTTGTAATCATTCACCATCTGGTATCGATCCTGTGATGACTCCTGCTTCTTCAGGAAGCTTCCTTTCAACTTCTCTTCTTGCATCTTGTAGCATTTTAAGTCAAGAGATTTATCATTTTGGTGAAGCCCATGCTGAGAGAAGGAGTTATCCAAAAATTCAGGATTTGAATTGTCCTGAAATTCTGAGAAATCATTATGCTTCTCAGAATAATTCAGAGATAATTGAGAATTATCTAGCTTGTTAACTGGAGGGAACTTCTTCTGATTACATAAATTCTGGATAAACTCATCTTGCCCAGTATTTTCCCTTTGGATCTGATCATCCTCATTTTTGCCATTCTGGGCTTCTTTAGTAACTCCTGCTGAGTTTTCATTCGCTCAAGGATTGGCTTTATGGATCGGACTCATAGAGGTGTTCAGAAGATTCATATTAGTTATGAAACTATACCCATTACTTGTGTAACTATTATCACAATATCTATCGTTGTTCTTTGGCACTGCTTTATTAGATAGATCTGGCCCAGATTTACTCTTGACCGACTCCTTTAACATCTTCTTATTAAGCTCATGAAGTAGGGTCTCATCAATACTTTCGATGTTCTTCTGTGAGATTTGGGAAAGGTTCTTTATATCCTCATTCTGAACTTTGTCAGAGTCTTTTGTTGGCTTTTTCTCCTTTCTCTGTATCTTTTCATGGAGTCAAGTGTTCTTTCAAAAATTCTTCACTGTGATAATCGGGTTAATAGCATCCTTTCCTATTGAGAGCAAGGAGAGATCTGTAATCCGAGAGTCGTCGTTCATTTCAGAAGCTATAAAGTCTTCTGGTTGGTCATCTTTCCCTTTTGTTACAACTTCCTTGAGTTTCTTGATTTGTTTGTTTTGTGCAAGGACGAGTTTAATCGTAGCATATAGTACATCCTTCAGCATCTTATTCTCCTTCGTGTTCTCTGTGCTTGCTTCACTGCTCATGGACTTATTGTAATAATTGAGGATCTCAATGGCATTATCTCCTTTCTCTTTAGATTGGTTGCCTGAGGAGACATCAGCAAGCTTATTGTACCTGATTTCTTTCCTTCTACTCATATTACCTTTTTCTTGTCTCTGAGTCTCTGTGAATTCTGCTGTGTTGTAGGAGGACTGGTGGTCTCCAGCCCTGTTAGAATTTAAGTTGAGTAAAGCAGATTTAGAATCTATTTTTCCTATATTGGGTTACTAGAAATTTACCTCTGTTAGAAACTGCTGCTGAGTTGTGATTTAGCTGGGATTTTGATGGATTGAGGAGATGTAAAGGCAACTTCAGCTTGTTCTCTTCAGCTGTGGTTCCATCTTCTTTGTTTTGGTGAGAGTCTCCCTTGGTAAGCATATTTGGCATCAGGAGGCTATTTATTCCCTGACTTTCGTATCCGCGATCCGATTCAAGTTTTCTGAAAGTATCAGGATTGGGGATATAATTATTATTTTCCTTGCTTTCATTTTTATCATAGAGCAAGTTTGAATTGAACAGCTCTCCAGTCTTCCTCAGCTTGGGGATTGAAGTACTCCTTGAGAACTTGAGTTCCTCAGTAACTAGTTTGTTCAAGTTGTTCATTGCTGAGAGGATCTCTTTATTTTTCTTATGTTCCCTTTTAATCTTCTTCAACTTTGCTTTAATCTTCTGCAGGACAGATTTGTTCTTAGATGTATCATATTGCTTAGATCTCTGGTGTTTTCTCCGAGAGAATTCATCAGGCACAAGATCTCATTGAAAATCACTCTGTGGGAAACGACTTGTTTGGATCTCATCTTCTTCTTCATCATCAATAAGGTTCTTGTCTCCAAAGAGCTTCGAGTCTTTTGAATCTTTGACTTCAAAACCGGTCACGAATTTCATACCGAGGACAAGTGAGTAGAGGTCATCGATCTCTTTGAGGACTTTCCTTTCCTTCTCCACTGAAGTAGAGTAGTTCTTGTTCATCAGTCTTTTGGTTCCAAGTCTTGATCTAGAATTTGAGAGGTTACTCATTGAAGAATTTGGATTCATTCAGTGCTTCCAGATGTACTCTGAGACATCCTTTGCCATACTTTTTGGTAGGTCAAACCTGTTCTTTCGTAATATGGATGAAATTCTTTTAAATGCCTCCTTCTTGGAGGTAGGGTTATCCCTATAGAATTATTTAGACAAGTTACTTAAGACAATTTGAGAGATCTCCCTCGCTTGATAAGGGCAATTCTTGAAAAGTATCCACACCATTTCCTCTAGTTGTCTTTTTAGACTTATTCCCTTTCTTCCTGGTTGTTCTCTTCAGGCTCATGATAGATCGCTTAGCAAGTAACTTGGATTTCTCTGTTCTAGGGACACTAGATCTCTTCTCCTCATTTACTCTTGATTTCGTCTTGGGAGGACGATTTTCTTTACCAATAGCTTGAGTTAGATTAGTAGTACTCTGTTTCTCAGAATACTTATTTAAGCCCCTTCCTTGACTTTCTTTTGAGAATGCTCTTAGAGCTCATCTCAAAGGGAGTCTTTATCAGAGCTCTAGAGGTAGTTGAAATATTATTTAGACATCTTGCTGATACCCCTCTTCTTGTTGTTATTGATATTCTTCTCGCTCTTAAGGTTCATCCTAGTCTTCTCCTTTAGAGCTTTCTTAAGCCTGAGGGAGTTTATCCCCTGTTTATATGAAAGTTTACTATAGTTTGAAAGGTTTTGAGAGTTCTGGTTGATCGAATCTTCTCCTTGCTTCTGTCCCTTAATGTCATTTTCAAGATCAAATTTGCTCTACGATTAGAGATAAATCCTTACTAGGCTATCTTGGTATCAAATCGAACCTATAGTGGTTAGAAGGAGGTGAACTTACCTTTGAAGCTTTTCTTAGAGAGCTTTAAGGTAGTCGAGCTATTAACTGATCCAAGTATATTTGCTCCATATCAACTTTCAGCTAACTTTCTATTGATTGAATTATGTGATTTTTCCAAGTTTAGTCATTTTTGAAATGTTTTGTTGCTCTTTTCAAGTGACATTGGTCTATAGGGTGTTAGTTTATATTTCTTGACATTTAGAATAGCTCTCAGTCTATTAGATTAAATGCAAAATTGTTTATAGAAATGTATAAAATCATTAGAATAATTGTGCAAGAATAGCGCGAAATGTTAAATTTAAATTTATCAAGAAATTCGCATTGTATTCAAATCGCCTAAAATCTCTTTAACTCAAAATTTTAAATCACAACTAACAAAGAAGGCTACCAATACGGTTTAAAATTAGCCTTAGCGCTTCTAAACTGCTTTTGGCTCCTAGTAAGCATGTTTCCCAAAAACTGTGTTGAAATTACCTCCAAATTTATTTTCGTTAAATTCAAATATTTTATACAAATTTGGGGTTTTGGGGTTTTGGGGTTTTGGGGTTTTGGGGTTTTGGGGTTTTGGGG